CCCCCCCCAAAATGAGGCTCCCAGGGCAGCTTAAGGACCAAGACCCCCTCTTCCACCTCCGTGACTTCCAGGAAAGAGCCGGGCCGCTGCAACCAAGTGGACTGCGTACACAGTCCTAGCAGCTTCCCGATTGGCTACAAGATGACATCACAAGTGCATTGGAGTCATGATTGGTCTACTGGAGCTTAGGCGGGGCTAAGGAGGAGGTGGGCGTGCTGAAACCAAATGTATCCTCAGTTCTAGGGTCTCACAATTGGCGTGGGCTGGAGAAAAGGGATCGCTGTGTTGAGTATGGCCCAAGAAAGGGAAGGGAAAAGAAAAGAAACAAACCCAGAGCTTTGGTTTTATGACGGGAAGTCTTTCCCCTCCTTCCTTACTGCTCGCTCAGAAGCCAACAAATTAAAACACCGTTACTGTGCCAAGGCCTTAAAGGAGTATAAACAAACGAAGTTTAGGGACCTGCTGTTTCTCAGCGGCTCCAAACTCTGGGACAAGTGAAAGTGGGCTTGGACTGCGGACAAGTAGTAGAGGATGGAGACCCACGGGTTGCTCTCTAGAGGTCTGGTGGCTAAACAGGGCTGCTGTGGGGCCAGGGGACCACTCTCTGCGACCGGCTGACTTCACCAGCCCTATGGCGGCTTAGCACTTTCAGAAAGAAAGGACTAGACCAGCATCAGGGTCTCAGGCCAGGCCATTTGGCTTCTTTTGCATATGCTGACTCCAAAGGATGGGGGTGAGGGAGGCAGGTGACAGTTAGCTTTACTGGGGGGGGGGGGGGGCAAGAGCAGTATCCTCCAAGCTCTGCTAGCTCCCCTTCCTGCGTGCCCAGTTCTGCCAATCACAATTCTCCCACTGAGAGTAGATATTAACTTAAACTGAAGAGGATATCTCCTCAGCCTACTCTTTCCCAACGGCACCAAAGTTGGTTGCACAAATGACCGCTCACCCCATACCATATGCGATGTCACCTATTTGGCCTATGATTATAAATGGATCCTAGTAGAGAGACTTAGGGGCAACTACAATCCCTTTCCTGGGGAGTGAGATTTATATATTCATCCAGATGTTGTACTCTATTGCTGATAGAGCTAAGTCACCTGGGTAGGAGGAAGGACAGAGATGTGTAGAAGTCCATCCAGTATCAAATTTCTCTTCAGTTCTTAAATGTGTTATTTTTATCAACATATGTTAATAAGTTATTTATGCTATTATGCTAACCTAAAAAGTTACAGGTTTCATTATGGTACTTCCATATTTATGTGCCATTTTGCTTTGGATTTGTTTGTTTTGGGGTTTTTTGTTGTTGTAATGTTTTTGCTGCTGTTTGAGTTTTTTGAGACTTGTGTTTGTTTTTCTGTTTGAGACAAGGTCTATCTCCATAGTCCTGGAACTGGCCAGGCTGACCTTCAGTTCACAGAGATCCACCTGCCTCTGCCTCCCTAGTGCTGGGATTAAAGGCATTCGCTGCCAATGCAACCCAGCTAACCCTTAAATGTAGAGGTAGAAAAGCCCAAGCTCAGGGCTTCCCTGTTGTGCCCACACCCAACTTTCTCCACCTTGTACTAAGGACTAATCATTGGCATAGGAGACAAAAGTTGAGTCTGATCAGATAAAGTGAGAATGGGAATGGCTCGGGCTGGGGGAAAAATTATCTTGCTGATCTCAGGGATCCAAAATCTCAAAATCTGGTAGGGGAGCAGCTAAATCTCATTTTAAAATTATATGAGTACAAACTTGCCTTGATTTTCTTACTATGTAGGACCATGGGTAAATTTCTTTAAGTTCTAGTTTCCATGTTTAAATCTGATAAATAGCACGTGCATCCAAGAAATCCAGTAAGGGCCTGATGAGGTCATTATGAGAAGAGCATCTTGGGAACTACACAGCAGTGCATCCACGCAAGAGACTGTTGTTTTAGTCCAATCCTTTAGTTAGCTTTGCAAATATTCATTGAGAGACTTCCATAAACAAAGTCCCAGATGGCCACTAGTACCCAGGACCCAATTTCCTCACAGTCTGCAAATGGAACGTGAGCTACTTGTAGAAAACTCTAGTCTCTTCACATGTCTAGGACTTCTCTCTCCTCTGTGGTCCACAGGGGCTGGAAGACAGCAGAAGCAGAGGCAGGGGCTGTGCAGAACAAGGAGCCGCAGAACCCAAGAGCAACCAGAACTTTGCCTCACATGGTTCCCTCACTCCCTGGTTCCCATTGCTGTCTGAGCAGCCCTAGTTCTGACAGCTGGCTGGGTAGAGTGGCGGGGGTGGCTCCAGAGATAAAAATAGACCCCCAACTGGCAGAACTGGGGTGCCATTCTGGAAGATGACAAAACTCAGGTTGATATAGTAGCCATAGCAGCCATGGGCGATCTCTAGGCTCTGGAAAGAGAAGGGGTTCAGGGAAGAGGCAGAGGAACTGTCAGCACTTTCCCATCCTGGTGGGTTGTGCTGTTAGCCCAAAAGACCAAAGGAAATAAAATAGAAGTGTAGAAGGTCCTGGAAGGCAAAGAGGGAAAGGAATGGATGTGGGAGGTGCTCCAGAAGATGACCAGGACGAACACTGAGCCACAGAGGGAAAGGGTCTACTTCTGCCTTGCCTGTATATAAAAGCAGCTCCCCAGTGTCCGAACTAGAAGCCATTTCTAACAGGTGTTCCTAGCAACAGCACGGCACAGCTCAGCTCAGCCTGTGCCATGGAAGGATGCAGCTTAAGCAGCTTAAGACTTAGAGCAGACCAATAACAACTCAGGTGGCTCCGTACCTGGCCCAATACAGCACACAAATGCATCACCGTCTCTCTCAGATTTCAGCCCTTGAGAAAGGAATAATTGGGAGAGGTAGGCAATAACATGCAGTGAAGGTAGATGAGAAAAAAGGTGTCAGGACCCCATCCAAAAGAATGCTTCTCCAACTCACTTGTGCATTGATACCTCTCCCTGCACTGTAGAGTTCTGCTTACTCACCACCTCCACAAACCACCCCACTAGTCTGCTAGACCACATCCCAGCAGATGTCCACAGCAGCTGCCCTGCTTCTAGGGGACTGACCAGATGCTTAAAGCAGTCTAAGATGGGTAAGAATTGCCAGCTTGGCAAGAGATGACTATAGGTATGTGGGGCAGCATAAGGCTGGGTCAGCAGGATTACAGTCTGGCCCCAGTTCTGACCCTATCCTACCAAGTAGCTCTGGGCATTGGCTGCTTCCTTATAGCCCTGTGTAGCTCTTGCATCCAGGGCCTAGCACTGTAGGCGCTAGGGAAGCAGAGTGTCTGAACCTTGATTTCCGGGTTCAAGAATTCTTTCTTTCTGATTGGCTCACTGCTTCCTCCAAATCAGCCTTTGCCAGATCTTAAAGGAGGAGGGTAGCTTCCTTTTTTTTTTCTTTAATCAGAAAGGTCACTTTCTAACATCTGTGAATTTCTCAGGAAGTTCTCCTGTATATCTACCCTCAATCCATTCTGCAGCAATCAAAACAATAGCCAACTTTGTTGACATTTCAAAGGCAAGCAGAGATGTGTTATGCATCTTCCAGATTGGAATTCCTAAAGCTCTGGCTTGATACAGAGATGCTCCAGGCTATGAAACTTGGCAAGTATGCTCGCTCATCCCAGGCTGAAGGGAGTTTCCAAACAAGGTGGACATAGAGGACAGAACTAAGGAGAAGGTGCCAGGCTAGATGCTGGACGACTGATAAACAAAGGGGCAGGAAGCTGAGAATGTAGAAGAAAAGGGGAAATTTCTGAGGCCCCAGGTGCTATCAGTCAAGGGTTCCCTAGGCACCTGACCCAGAAGCCCCACTCCTACCCCAGCCTAAATGATGTCAGTACCAGCTGGCAACCTCATGGCCCGCTGCAGCTACCGTAATTATTTGCAAATCTGACTTCTCTTTGCAGCTGTGCAATCAACAGACCTGAGAGCCCAGCTCAGCCAAGGGCAATCCTAAATACTCCTGACCCTTCTCTCAGCCCTAGCCCCAGGCATCCCTGGGTACATCTTGGCCTTCTTCTCTGCCAAACCCCATCACAACCCCCTCTGGGGATTGATAAGGTCCCAGATGCTGAGGCAGAATCCTAACCTGATGTTTTCTTCCCAAGCAAGAGTAAGCACCACAGATAGAACAGGAGCGGCGGGCAGTGAGAAGAGGACAAGAATCACCGCAAGCCAGAGAGAAAGAGAGAGAGGGGGAGAGGGAGGCAGGAGGAAAGAAACTAACTAACGCACTTGGAGAGCCCTGCACTGAAGTCTTAGCAACCATCTTTCTCTTGTTCGTCCATCTCAAACCCCTCCCAGCTCTCTGGAACCAGCTGTCCTCCCACCCTAGGGGACGGTCTCTGTATCTAACAACTTCCAGCCTCCCGAGCCTCACCTCCACCCCACCTGCTGCCCTCGTTTTATGCCTTTTTATCTGCAGCTGTCCTGAAGAGAGTTGGAAAATAGCTCCTCAACTTCCATACCTGAGAAAACCAGCCCCTTGAGATTCAAAGGCAATTACTTGGCTTCTTCCCTGGAGGGCCTGAGAGGATGAGGTTGCTGATCAGGCAAAAGAGACATCCTGCAGAAAACAGGAGTTGAGGCTGGACTCTGAACAAGGCCCTAAAAAGGTATCTTGCAGCCAACTTACCCTACTGTCACCTCAGCAACACCTAGATGGTGGTACCCACCACATACAGATTCTCTAGCTCCCAGCCAAGAATGAGGTAGTGTGGGAGGCAGAAGACAAGAGAGGGTAAGTGAAGGCAGGAGGGCAAGTGGAACATAAAAAAGGAGGGAAACGAATCTAGAAAAGAAGGGGTCACGGGGGTGGGGGGGGAAGAACAGAGGCCTTAGATCTTCCCTCAACCGTTCCTCTGCAGACTTAAAGAC